TTTTTTTGGCTCAGGGGACATCAGTGTTATCGGTGACAAGTGTGGATACGCTGGTGAATGCAACAGAGAGAGAAGGCAATCAGATCAAACAACCACCCGAAAGTACCATGGAAAAGGTGTCATTCCTCTTCAATAACCTCAGTCAGAGCAATCTTCCCAAAAAGGTCTGTTTAATTTGTAGTAAATATGTGTATATTTCAAGGTGTTGCCGCATAAATTTCTATTTCTCAATGCCACTTCAACCATCAGTTTCATTTGTTCTCTATGCAAATTCGAAATATGCAAAAGTGAAAATGTATAACTGTTGTATGTATATTATGGGTTCGGTGAATAAACCAAGAGACGTGTTGATTTCAGCATTTTCATTCGAAAGAGCCGAATTGAAGAGTGACTTTGATAGCTGAACTGTGTTTCTTTTTTTTTATGATGAATCGTTGATATTTACAGACCGAAGAAATGAAGGCGATGATGGCTGAATATGGTGAGGATTTTGTGCGATGGCTAGCACAGTATATGGTCATGAAACGAGTCAGTATTGAGCAAAATTTCCAACCGCTTTACAACAATTTTTTGATAGCAATTGGTGACGAACAGCTGGAAAAATTCGTTAAGCAGGAAACATTCCGGAATATCAAAGTAAGTTCTTGAGTCGACGTTGTTGAGCGATTTTGTTCGTGAATCTATGCTGGATGGGGCATATTTTGCGATGATGTATTCCCATTCGAAAAGAATTCTCTGTTTTCCATCTGTTCATTTATAAATTTATCATCAGATATATGCATCAATTCCTCAGTATTCCCTTCTTGAATATTTTGAGAGTTCTAACAGCGGTGAGTCTTTTTTTTTGTTGTGTGTATATTGCGAGTTCGGTGAACGAACCAAGAGTGGACAGGAAAAAGATGCTGATCTGTCCGACAGGTTCCGTCACGAGGGAACTTCAAATCTCTTGTTGATGCAGCAGCACCGATATATCAATGAAAAGCGTTGTAGCCAAGGTTGTTCAGCAAATGAACT